ATATTGGAATTTGATGGCGGTAATAATGAGATCAATTTAAAAAATTACATATAACTTCTAGTAATACTATAAACATGTATAAGAGTGTACATATAAATATACATATATATATATTATTAATATGTATTATACTTATCATTTTTGTAATAAAAAAAACAAAATATTATATTTTACTTTTTAAACTTATACAATTATTAAATTTGTCTCGATCTAATTATATTAATATTTATTATTACATAATACATATTATTGTGTGACATATGCATTCTATAATTTCATATCTATTATGATATATATATATTCTTTTAAGTTAAATTATCTTTCAACAACAATAAGGCCTAACAAGAAATAATATTATTTTATAATGATAAAAATGAACATAAAAAAGTACAAAATATATCTACTAATATATACAATGTTATATTAATATATTAATATTATTATGGACGGATGAAATATTTAGCAAAGTCTTATAACATTAGCTTAAATCATTAATATGATAATCTTTCAAGTTTTCTATGTACAAAGTGTTTTTTAATATTTTATAAATGGTAATACTAAAAAACATTTTGTATATATATGAACACATATTGTTTTTAATTTTTTATTTGAATATAGTTTTTTTTAGAAAAATAAATAAAACAGCTGTAATAAAAAATATTTTAAAAATATATTATACAGCTGTTTGCGGGATACCTTGAACTAAATGTGTCTTGCTTTTACTTTTGGGTAAAGAAGACTGACTCATAGCTTTGCTTAATTTAGGTTGTCCATTTGGTGAACTGGTAACAAATCCTTCCGAACGCATATCTTTCAATGAAGTATTAGAATTACTTCTTAGCGATGGAGTCGAACTGAATTTTCGATTATGTGCTAATCGTTCTTGAAGCTTTATTTCATTTTGTCGCGGTATTCTAGATTTGATTGGTGGCATATCACGATATTCATGAATATTTTCCTTTGAAGTACGAGTTATATTCTCGATTCCCTCCGAAGGTTCATCGTCTCGTACCATCAGGATGTCTCCGCTATAGTAGTGGTCAGATTGTCTAAGCATAAGAAAAAATACAAAATTATTGTAAAAAAATATAATTCAAATATGATTATTTACTAATTCCAATATAAATGAAATGTAAAAAAATAAATTAAATTAATAATAAAACCAAAATGAAAAATTCTTTAATTCATAATCTATAATTAATTAATCTATCTTATTTAATACAAGAGCTTTTAATATTTAAAGCTGTGCAATGAAATATAAAAAGTTTATGCATTACCTGCATATAATCTGGCAGCCTTTGTTTTGCTGCATGAATTATAAGCAAAGATAAAAATGTGTATATGTTATGTTAATTTTCAATCTTAAATATTATTTTTTATAATAAATATTTATTTTTTTATTAAATCAGAACCATCACCCATCATGCATTATTAAAATAAAAATACTATCACGGGGTTGGTTCTGTTTACCTTTTCTTACCTTTTGGCATTGCGCCAAAGCATACAACATACTACAGAAAGCACGATTAATAACAGGCAGGCAGTGGAAACTGACCAAAAGGCAATTTGCAATGGTTGTTTTGGTTCCCACCAATACTGTAATAATAAGAATAATAAAAGAAAAAATAAACAAAAGAATTTCCTAAATTTATATATAAAAAAAAAATATATATAATATTCTTACTTCAGTAACTGGAGGATATGTAGGTACTAAACGACCGATAACAGTTGGTAAATATATAGACCAGAAGGCACTTTCAGTTTGTCTATAGTTCAATAAAATTGAACTATTAAAAGTAGTATTGATATTTAAATATCGTAATTGACCGGGCTTAGCAACATCAAAGTGTAATCCTAAAATTTGCGATGGTGTTGGATTTCTAAAATCCAATGAAATAAAAGAAATATTCATTTAAGAATATTTATATATATTTAAAAATATATAATTAAAAATAATAATAATAAAATAGTAATAATTAAAAATAATTTAACTTTATATTATTTAAAAACTTACCCATACTTTGCAAAATTTGAGTATGTCTGCATAAAAAAATGACTCATATTCCGATCATTGTCTGTCCACATATCTCTCTTTAAATTCCACTTCTGAGGGAAAAATTCTAAATAATATAATAATTTTGTTATTATATTATTTTTAACGAAAAGTTTTAAATTATTGCAAACTTACCAATATCCATAAACGGCGCTCCTGTTAGCCAAAGAAGTTCAATATCGTGAGGAACGCTTCGCCACTGTGGTAATTTTAATGCTTCCACTGTTGTATTTAATACATATAAATACGTAGGTACATGTTTTTCTATTAACAATTTCGCCATTTTATCAAATGGAGCAACATAATGAAAGTCAGATAAAAGCTGAAAATGCAACATTATATAAATATTTAATTATAAAAAAAAAAAGTATATATCAAAATATATATATATATTTTTTGAATTTACATTAATATATTGATCACGAATATGTGTAATATTTTTTGGGTCTGGCCAATATGTATACATGTATTTTATAGCTTCATATACTCCTTGAGAATTTAAAGTATAATTATATTGAAGAACAAGTTCCCAGATTTTTTGTTCGAATAATTCTACATCTATGATATATTGATTTCTGGCCAATGTGACATTGTTATCTGCAATAAATTAAATATTTAATTTATAAATATATAAAATTATAAAAATTTAAAAGAACATACATATAAGATATGCTGCTTCTTGAGTAGTTACACCAGCCATATATGCTAAATTATTTTTAAACCTATGATTCTTTATACTTTCTTCAGGTGTTTCCATAAAAAAACGCCAATCTGATGCTCTCCAATCTTCGTACCAATTATCAGGTATTGTGAAATTGATATCCAATACTGGTGCCCATGGAAACATTCCAATATGTGGCTTCAATTCAGAATTACCCAATTCAAAAAAAGATCTACCATTTTTCAAGCATTGCACTAATTTCCAATTGCTTTCTATGCTACAGCCTAACATTTCTGCATATACTCTGGATGTATTTTGTGCCCTGTATTTATCTATTATAACTGCCCAGTCTGCTAATGCAGAACCCGATTGAGCTATTACTTTTGATACCATTTCTCTAGTTTTGGGTGCAATCATTAATAACCCTGCACTTACAGCTCCAGCACCAGGTCCAAAAAGAGTTATTGCATCAGGATTACCATTAAAAGCTTTGATATTATCATATACCCATCTCAATGCCATAGCTTGATCCAAAATTCCATAATTTCCAGGACTATTTTCATCTCCTGTACTTAAAAATCCTAAAACTCCCAATCGATAGTTAATAGAAACAACTACTACATTATAAAATGCAGCTAACATATGAGCTGGAAATAAATTGCTAGCTCCATGAGAAAATTCTCCACCATGAATATAGAACATCACTGCGTATGGCTGAGCTAAACCAGAATCAATTGATGGAGTAAAAATATTCAAATACAAACAATCTTCATCTACATCTCGGATTCCTTTAGTAGCACCAGTATATGCACTAGGCTGAGGACAAGCTGGTCCCCAATCCACAGCTTGTAATAGTTGCCAACCTTTATGAGGTCTAGGTGGTTTAAAACGTCCTTCCTTTGTAGGTGGCATAGCATAAGGAATACCAAGAAATACATTAACATGCTTTGTAACTCTTTCAACTGGTAAACTCCAAGGTCTATGTCTTGCTTGAGGACTATCATATAAATAAACTTTAAATCCTTGCACTTGTCCATAATTTGTGCTCACAGTTACATCTCTATGTAGATTTTTAGAGTCAGGTCTCTCTTTTCCTTGAAGATCTTCTCGCCAACCACTTAACACTCCAGGTAAAGGAAATCTTGAAGTTGTATCCTTTAAAATAACATTTTTAATTATAATCTTATATATTAAAAATAAATAAATATATTAACATATATTATTATTCATTATAATACAAAATTAATTATCATTTATTTTATCTTACCTCATAAAGATACCGATTCTCCGGTGCTTTGGCATGTTCTTTGTAAACAACGTCCAAATAACTAGGACGATATCCATACCTTCTGTCTTTGTAAACATAAGTGTCGGTTCGATGATCCGGCCCATTTAAAGGCACATATACTCCATCACGACTGTAATACCGATTACCTGGGGATATTTGTTCGTGACAGATTACCGTAATTGTGAAGAGACAAAGATAAAAACAGACGCGTCCAATCGACGAGTATGGAATACTTGCAGCCATCTTGCCCGCGTGCGAGTTGGTTTTTCACACAAACAAACAAATGTATGTATACGATGTATATACATGCATAATACTTCTTTAGACATATAGTAAAACGAGAAACTCGGTCTTCTAAGAAACTCTCAATGAAGTAAGAAAAAGGGAAAGCTATTATGAAAGTAAAATCTTACTAGTAGTTATATTCTTATTAAAAATATATACGGAAAAGAGTAATCATTATAGAAATAACTGAAACACATTTCTTTTCTTTTTAAAAAAAGAAAAGGGTAAACGTTCGATTTTTGTACACGTGCGCTTACGAAATCAATGGATTGATACACGCGTAGGCCAACACCCTGTAACTGTCACGTTTTAAAACTATTATTTTTTAATTAAAATTAGCAAACATTTAAATCTAATTTATATGTATATGCTATAATAAGTTATAATTCACATTTAAAATATTATTTTTTATAAATTTATATTATATCATAAATATTTTTGTTTTGAGTATTATGTATCATCGAATGATAACTATTTGATATTACTACGAATAAAAAGAATAAACGAAAAATTATGAAACAGCCAAATTATTCAAAATAAATTCACTAAAACTGATTCACAATTACATTATAACAAATATGAAGTTTCAAAAATTATTTACGATAGATATATTACTGGGACTAACGTTCAAAACGTACTGAATGGTAATATTACTCTTGCGTGCAAATACACGCTGCGAAGACCATCTATCCACTAATAAATACTTGTCATACACTAAAGCGATACAGCCAGAGTAGTGATTCAAAAATTTCTATAATCATCTAAGTATGCCATCGCATGAACGGGATTTATACTTTTATATATGATCTGTTCACAGACTCTTATCTAGCGATTTTATCTGAAATAGATTACATCAGTGATACTCATTATAAATAATACTTTCAATAAATACAAATCATTTAATGAACTTATCAAAAAATTTCTCTTAATATTTAAATCAAATCTTTTATTTTTTTTTTTTTTGTAAATTTTAATGATTTTTAAAAGTAAAATAAAAAATCAGATTATCATTATACCATTGAAACTGATGATATATCATGAAGTATGAATAATACGATAATCAATGATTTCACTGTTGTTTTTATCAATAAAAAATCTTTCCATTATGATAATCTTGTACCATTTTTTTTATTTTCTTTTAAAAAACCGACTGATGATAATAATATGAAGATTTTACATTTAGAAATATATATTATTCGAAATATATATTTTTCTACCATCAAAGTTGTAACAAAGTAAAAGTCTTTTCTGTTGCTTTCTATGCTTCCCCTTCAAGCGAATTCTCCAATTTACAGCAATTGCTGGATTTATTATCCATTCCCCAGTCAACTTTACTCACACGCTTGTACAGTCCCAGTAAAAAACTGGACTGGCTTAATCACTTTTATCCGTTCTCAGCTATCCTCTTGCAATCGTCACGCTTGACACGACGGGGTTGACTTCTGAAAACAAAAGTGAATATAAAGTAGCAGTTATTGTACAATAAAAAATTTTTTAAATATAATATATATTTTTTTAAAATAATTATTTATAATAATAAATTATTTCTTGATTATAAAAAGATCTGTTTTTGAAATTTAGATTAGAGATTACGCATATGATGTTTAATTTTAATAAGAAGATATAAATATGATTTGAAGACGATTAGTCTTTTATATATTGTAAAATGTTCAAATTTAAATAGTTTATAATGAATACATTTATTATTCATAACATTCAGGCTATCCTAATTCAGCATTTAAATAGACTTTATTATAATTGTTGTTTACATCCTATTGTGCGTATATTTTCTTTTTGTTTGATATTAAAATGAAATCATGGGAATAGGACATTCCTTGATAAATATAATTATTTTGTCCAATTTAAAAAAAATCAAAAAATCTAAAAAAATTTTGGAATACTTATTAACATATCTGCTTTATTATATAATTTATTTCAATAAAAATAAACTTCCTTTCTAAAGAATGATAGTGAAAGATACAATTTTGTGTGAATTAAAATTGCAAAATTAACAAATTCCATTATAAATTTAAAATGTATTTTCAAAAATGTATTTTTCGCAAAAAAAAAAAAAAAAAAAAATATCAAAAGAAAAGATAAAATAATTAAAAATTATCAAATAACATATTCTAATATTAACTATTAATTCCCAATAGAATGTAATCCATATAAGATACTATAATATTAATTATATATTAATCATTTTCTTTCTTAACATTTCACTTTCATCTAGGATATTCTTCTCAGAAAATTTTACTTTTTTTAGGATATATAATTTGCGCGTAGTGACCAGCAGATTTCCTTGAGTTTTAAGAACAGATGCACCGGTGGTGGTCGAAGGGTGGGGGCGGTGCGATGGTGGAGGCACTCGCACAGTCCAGGGCCCACTTGTTCGACGATCGTCTTGTCACTCGAAAGTGCGTTACCATTCTGGCAACATTGGTTTCATGTGTCTATTTCTTGTCCAATCTTGTGCTCTTTCATTGTGTCAATATTTTACAATTCATCTATGAACTACTCAAATCTTATTCTATCCCTTATTATTGTGTGGAAGTGTGAACTTTGTGACATTGAACATTTTGAAGTGCATTCTAAATATAATATAATAAAAAGAATGCTTTAAAAAAATTATAAAAAATAGAATAGATTATTTCTTCTTTTATCAATTTATTATATATTAAGAAAAAAAAATGCCTACGGAAACGTTTTCAAAAGAGTTAGATGCTCATATTGTGACTTTACTTACGAGGATCTCTTCGTTGAAGGAAAATAATACAGAACTCTTGGAGAAGAAAGCGCCTATGTCTATAGAAGCTCGCAGCTTAGAACTTTGGAGAGCAGTGGCTGTTGAGTGTTTCGCTACTTTTCTTTTCAGTCTTATCGTATCTGGCGCAGCTGCGTCTTCCGCGGTTTCTGGAAGCGGACTCTCCGTCTTAGCCACTGCTATAGCATCCGGCTTTGCAATTTCGGCAATCTACTTCATCTTTGGTCATATCAGTGGTAAGTTTCACAATTTGAATAATGCTTTCATAATTTTCAAAGTAATCCCAGCAATTTTTAATATTTTTAATAACATACATTTTTGATTGTGATGTTATGTTAAAAAGTATTTCATATTTTTTATATTTATTAATTGCGTTTTAGACAAATAATTAAAAATATTATGTTTTTGAAATAATTTCTTGATATATAAAAGTATTTTATATTAATTGTGAAAACTTTTTACTTATGCACACTATCGTATCGTTTATATTCGCTCTTTACGATTCCATCTCTCTCGATTGACTCATTAACCAATTATAACTAATGGAAATACACTATGCATATAGTAGAGCATGTGCGAGAGCGTGTCCTAGATGGCACATGTATATATATTTCATATATCATCTTATGTAGATATTTGTTTCCTTGTTTTTTAAATAAAAATCCAGATAAATATTTTTTTCAGAATAAAATATAATTTTGTTCGTTTGTATAATTTAGCAAAAATTTCTTCAATTTTGCAAAGAGTTTTTTTAATTGTATTATTCTAAATATTGATTTTGTCTATTTGAATAGAGAATATCTTCCACTTTTTAATGCTTTAATAGCAACTGATATGCAAATAGCATGAGTTGAGTGTAAAATATTAATTTGCATCGCATGCGAATAAAATTGATTCGAAAATTGATTTTTTATAAAATATCCTTCTGGACTTCACTCTTCAAAATTCTCACATATCCATATATGAGGGTTCCATATTTCTAATTCATAAATATCTGTAATTTTTAACACTTATTTGGAATAGTAAAACATATAATTCTATAATAAAAAACATAATTCTAATTTTTATAAATATAAATATAGAAAATATAAAATAAATCATAACATAAAGTGATATTCAATTTTGTTTTGTATATTATAAGATTGTTATAAAACTTGTAATAAAATGGTACAGGTAGTCATGTGAATCCAGCTGTCTCAGTATCTTTCGCTTTGTGTCGACGAATCTCTCTCCTACGAGCTGCTCTCTACATTGCTGCACAGTGTGGAGGTGGTATAGCCGGTGCTGCAATGTTGTATGGGTGAGTGATCATTTAAATATTAGATAATTATTATCATCTAATGTATATTATAATAATTAGATAATTATTATTATAAAATCCATGAAGCATCCATATCAAATTAAATTCTTTTATTTTTATATAATAAGTATAATTTTAACACTTCGAATGCAAAGGATTTAACACGATAAATTTCCAAACCAAAAAAACTTTGTTAAGTGTTCATACACATGGAAAAACACGATATAGAAAAAAGACGAGATACGAAGAGCAGCTGTTAGATAGCTGGAATCCGAGAAGGCTGCACGATCAAATCCCTAAAGTTTTTCTGTTCCTTTGAAGTTTTTAAAAAGTTCTGAAATCAATAACATTATCGTCATTAAATTCTTATATGAAAATGAACGCATTCATTTTTATAATTATTACTAAAATTTAATTAACTGAAATACAAAGGACGTATTATAAAGTGTTTTCGAAAATCCATTTTAAATAATGCAGATTTTTGTAAAGATGAATTTAAAATAATGAAAATTTGTAATAAAAAACATAATAAAAATAAAAAAAATAAATGACAATAAAAAAAATAATTTTTTAAGAATGCATTATTTATAAGGCAATTTTTTTCTTTTAAGAATTAAATTTGGTTATGTTACTTTCGTGTCACGTTATAAAGTGTTTCAAGTTATCTTACATACCCTCTAGCTACGATTGTAAGAACTATTGTTCGATATTTTAAAGTACATATACTTATAGATCGATATTATATATTTATCGATATTTATTATTATTATTATTATTAAAAGATCTTTATTATTAATTCTATAGATAATCTATAATAATTTGTTGGGGCAGCGAATTTCTGTAGGCAGACGGTGATCAGGAGCGCGTGAGCATGCTGTTTTTTTTCTCTTCGGTCGAAAAGAGAGATCGCCCGCGTGCAACTCGGTGCACGTGCCTCAATTTTGTCCGTCGTTAAAGAATCTGGCTAGAGGGCAAAAAAAATTGAAGGGAAAAAATTTTTTTATGTTTTATTCTTATATTCTATATATTTTTATATCTTGTATATATTGTTTTTTTTTTTTTCTATTAGTGGAGAAAAAGAAAACGAAGGATATCAAACTCATATTTGATTCCGAATTTATCATCCTTATAAAAGAAATAACATAAAACATAACATGTTTCTTTATAAAATAAAGCAAATCAATTAATGAATTAATACTAAATTCTTACAAGATTATTATTAAGAAATTTGTTTATTTTTACCATAATATTTATTTATGATCCATGATTCGGTAAAAAGATTTGAAAACGGGAAAATGAAGAGTAACGAGGAAAGTGAGAGAGGCAGAAAGAGGCACGCGTAATTGGCAGAGTTAGGGGGAGAAACTTCTTCGAAGGTGAGCACCTGCCTCGTTCCGTGTATGCTGCGGCAGGCCACCGTCTTGCAGCTGCCGCAGATGTTCCATGGACCGAAAAAGATCGCGCGGAAAAAGGATCGAGCAGGCACCAGAGACGAAGATAATGAATACCTATGCGTGGTGAGGTGGGACAAGTTTCACGACGCGATCGCCTCTTATTGAAGGAGGACATGCTACGATCTGGGCCCACAGAGCAGATGTTCTCTCCGTTTCTGAGGATCATTGTCCTCCATTTTTCCTTCTATCTTCTTCTTTATTTTCTTTTTTCTTCTTCCCTCTTCTTCTTCCTGTCATTTCTTATTTCTTATTGCATGCTTGGAATTATTTTCGAAATATATATATATATATAAAATGAATTCTAAGAAAGAAATACTAAATAAGTGTAAATGTAATCGTATCGTAATGTTACGATATATAGAGGATTATTCAACCTGTAACACAGCGTTACAGGTTAGTACTTACATATGGAAGTGTAGAGATTTGTAGATATGCTTGCTTTTATGGTAATAATTGTAAAATATAAGAACGTACAAGAAACATTCATTAATCTTAACATTATTATTATTATTATTATTATTATCCATCTATTAATGTTTATATATATATTAAAAATATTTCAATATTTCCCCTTTATGTATTCATTAAATACCTGTAAAAGATAATTAAATTAATTATCAAATCTTGAAAATTAAAATAATATAAAGTTAAATTTTGTTTTTTTAAATAATTTTTTCCTATTAATTAAATATATTAAATTATATTTTTCTTAAATGCATAATATGGAATTATATAGGTGACCATAGACATCCCTAACAGTTCGATGCAACGACAGATCCGTCATCGACAGTACGATCATCCTTGGACCACCATATGACCGCACAAAGAGATAACAAGTGCACGATATGTACCGAAATAATAATCGAACAATACTCTAGTTAACCGATCGGGTTCGTCATCCCTTCCAGAAATATCTCCAGGGAGTGCATACACCCCAATGGGAAAAAAGGGAATCAGAGAGGGAAAAAGACATGGCCAAGGGAGAGATGAGGAAAGAAATAACACATATTCTTGCATCTGTTGCGACTGGGTCACTCGATGGTGTGTGTCTGGCGTTTGTAAAACACATATCCTTACGTTTTGTCGAGGGATGGTCGTAGCTCCCACTGCGATACTTCCCTGGAATATAAATAAAAAAAAAAGAAATGGAGAGACAGCCAAGCAGAGATAGATCGTAAACTGAATTGACATGAGCTAAGAGATTATTACGAGAATCGCGAGATCTAACTATCCGGAAAGGATTTAGTATCGACACATTACAAGAATTTCCCATTATCTTTTTATCTAATTTTTCAATGGCAGAAGAAGAATACAAAATAGATTATAATATATTGCCATAGAAAAAGACTAACTACTATCCTACCTTTTCTCACATTTTCCAATTACAAATCTCAAATTGTTGACAATTTAATTAATTATTTAAATTTTATATATACAAGTGTTATAAAAAATTTATATTTTCTATTCATGTAACAAAAGGGAATAGCTATGTCGATACAGAGATTGAATAAGGAACAGTTTGAAAACAGATATTAAAAATGGTGATATAAAACTATTTGTCAAGGGTGTTTACCACCACGGATTGGAGAACAGCTGTGAGGAAGCAGGTGTGTGTGTGACGTCAAATAAGACACACGCAGTGCGCGTGGTGAACCGGATGTCCAGCAAAGAAACAGTCTCATCATGCATTTCCTGTTCTTCAAAATTATCTATGATACAATATATATCTATGATAGTCAAGTTCCGTTTCTAAAATCTAGAACAATTGATTTCTTGTACGATTGCATGCAAAACTATTATTTTTGAATTTTAAAACTCTCTCTCTCTCTCTCTCTCTCTCTC